AAATTATTTTGTATTTTAAATTACAAAAAATATTTGCCATCGAGTTTATATATAATTTTAAAATAGTACACTCTACCCTTAATTTTAGAGTTTGATGCTAGCTCGTATTTGTTGATGAGAGATAAGATAGTCTTCTAGTCTAAAATGGAGCCTACTCCAAGAGTGAGGTCATCTATGTAAGCAGCTATTTTAAAAGTAGATTCTAAGATGTTTATTTCTCTAATGTGTTTTTGAATAGATTAGATTAAGAGATTGATTGCTAAGATATATAGTAAAAGTAAAAGAGGGTCTCCTTGTCTTACTCCTTGTTTAACTTTGAAAGGCTCTGAGAGGTTGTCTGAGTCTAGGATATAAGCTTGTTGAGAGGTAAAAAGTGAGGCTACGGTTTTAATAAATTTGTTTTCAAAGCTCATTTTGTTGAGGACTAGTTGCATGAATTGATGGCTAACTCTGTCAAATGCTTTTTATTGGTCTAAAAAGAGGAGCCAGTATTGCTTAGACTGGTCTAGTTGGTTTCTTAGTACTGTTATGACGTCCAAAGCAGTATCAGAAATAGATCTTCCAGAGACAAATACCTGTTGAGCTGAGTTGATGATTTCATCACATGCAATATTTAATCAGTTCACTAATATCTTCATAAAAATTTTAGTATCACTGTTAACCAGAGAGATTAGTCTCCAGTTGCTAATGTTCTCTAGGTTTTTAGACTTCTTTGAAATAAGTGTGATCAAGTTTATACTTCAAGAGTGTGAGATTAGTCCTGTTAGCAAGATCTGGTTAAAGAGCTTAGTAAGAATTAGGATTAGAGCTTCTTTTAGAGTTTTATAAAACTCATATATGAGCCTATCTGAGCCTAGAGATTTGTTGTTTGGAAGTTTGTCGATTATTAATTTGATTTCTTCCTCTGTTATCTCTTTAATTAAAGTGTTGTTTGCATTTTATGAGATTTTTAGAGTATTATGCAGGAGTTTCTCTGCTACTGGGAGATCAATACTTTCTGATTTGTAGATATTCTCATAGTAGCATTTGATATATGATAAGGTGTTGGCTATGTCTGGAAGGTCGAGATGGTTTGGATTCTTAATTTTTGAGCTGCCAGATATTGTATATCTAATTTTGTATTAAGTGAAAAAGTACTTTGTAGATTTCTCCTCTTCCTCAATCTATTTGGCATTAGATCTAATTTGCCAATTCTCTAAGAGGAGTTGTAATTCATCTTGAAGCTGTACTTTAGTTTCTTCAAGTGCTAGTTGAAGATCTGTAAGTCTATAGTCTCTGACTATTCAGTTGCTTATACCTGTTAGTCTTCTTTACAGAATTTGAATCTTCTTTTCTGGGGGAGAATTTTGTTTAGCTGTTCTAATTATTGATTGGATCATGCATTTATGCAGATCCCATTTATCAAGGTTTTCAATTCTTTGAAGTTCTTTGAGGACTTCATCTCTAGTTTCTAAGTTAGAAAGAGATTTTGGGTTGAATCTCCATAAGGAAGTATATGCAGAGGTTGAGTTGAAACTAATAGTGCATTTGACGAGAAGGTGGTCTGAGTTGCCAAACTATGTTTGTGCTTCTTTTTTTTATAAGCTGTGATTTGAGTCCATAAATATGTAGTCAAGCCTTGTAGCCATTTTGTGATTATTTCTAGTATTTTAATGGAAAGTTAAGAAGAGGTTATTTGTTGAAGTTTCTGCTATGTCAGTGAAATCTATCATTAGGTTCTTGACTAGCTCTTTTGAAGGGTTATTTTGTATTAGTGCTTGGCTTATTCAGTCTCTATGAGGGTTTGATTTACATTGAAATCCCCTGTTATAAGGTTTATATAGTCTTCTTCGATCATTGGAGACTAGCTATTGAAGAAATTAATTCTGTCTCTTAGGTTTGAAGGTGCATATATGTTGGTAACCAAGAAGGTATATTTTTATAAGAGATTTTTGTTTGGATTACTCTGTTATCAAAAGAAGTTCTTGCTTCAATTATTTTGATTTGTTTGTTGCTAGCTAAAATTGCTACTTTTGAAGACCAAAAAGAATCAAAATTCTATTTCTGAGCTAAGAAATTTTCAGAGTTTATGTCGTTAAGGTTTGTTTCTTGAAGTGTAATGATATTTAGATTATAAGATTTTAAGAGAATTAGAGTTTTGTGTGCTTTGGCCTTATTGTTTAGACCTTTTATATTAAGAGTTGTGATTGTAATTTTTTTCATAATTGAATGAGATTGTTTTTTGATTTGTTATTATTGATTATAAAGTAACCTAATGAGAAGAGAAGTCTTGTCCAGAGGTGGTTGCCTCTGTCATTACTATATCATTCTCATGTATTCCTTTCTTATTCTTCCTTTTTTTGTTTTTCTGTATATCTGCTGTTGCAGTTTCACTTTCTAGTTCAGAAAGTTTTGAATTAGAAGATGAGATGTTTATCTTTTGTACTAGATTTGAGTTGTTGTTCTCTATTTTTTCTGTAATATAATCTTGGTTTCTTTTTTCATTAGCCATCTTTGTTGGTGGAATAGAGATTTTTTTCTCAGTTGCTGAGAGTTGCAATTCTTGTCTAGTCTGAACTTGAACATAAGGGTTATCTGAGCTAGGTTCTAGCTGAGTCTCAGAGTGAGTGCGGTTTTTTTCTTTTTGTAATTTTAATTCTTTATAGTGTACATGTAAAGCAATTGCATCTTTTAACTCTTCACAATCTTTTTTTACATAGCCTTCTTTTTTACAGTAATAGCACATTTTTGAAGCTTCTCTTCATTCAGTACTAACTTTGTAATCACCAATATATGTGGTCCTTGAGAGCCTTTTAGAAAGGTCTGGGTTTTCAGTTGTCTTAAATGAGACAATCTACTAGTCCGAACAAACTGAGAGTAGAGGCTTAACTAAAGAAATGATTCCTAAATCTTGGAAGGTTTCTAAGAGGAGTTTATTAGTCTAGTCTTTGTTTCCTAGAGATGTGTTTCTAACCTTAACAGAGAGAAAGCTTCTCTTTAGGTTAATAGAAATGTATCCAAAAATCATTTGCTTGAATATATTAATCTCTTCTGTTATATAGTGCTGCTGTTGAGCTTCATTTTTGAAAACCATTTCTAGGTAGGCTCTTTTACCACTACTAAAATAAGGTTTGGTAGCTAAGAGGTCCTCACCAAGGAAATTTGCTAAAGATAGAATAATATTATTTGTAGATATGTTATTTAGACTTTGGATATTGAAGACCAGAGCATTTTTATTTTTAGAGAGAATCTTGTTTTTGGGAATCTCTTGTTTGTATGTAGCTTTACTACCTCTGAGTTTGGTAAACAGATCTGACTATCATTTAGATTTGAGTTGATCGTAACTGTTAGTTTCAGAGCTATCTGTAAAGTCAAATAGCTTAGTTTTAGTTGTAGTTTCTGTGCTTGGACTGATTAGCTTCCTCATGTGACTTTTGTTTATGTCATAATTCACGTATTGTTTTGTTGTTTCTTTTTCAGGAGAAGAGGTGAAGCTTTCATTATTTTTGTTTGAAGAGGCCTCTACATGGTCTATTTGCTTGTTTTTGCCTTTGTCAAGTATTTCTGCTTCGACTTTGTTTGCCTAGTTGTTGTCTTTTTGCTCAGAAATGATAGTGTTTTTGTTATTTGAGAAACTTAATATGTTTTCTTTGTTTTCATCTTCTGGGTACAAAGAAAGGTCAAAAATTTTCTTGTTGTCTAAGAGCTTAGTTCTTTTGTTTTTGTTAGCACCTATAGTGCTCATGAGTAGTTTTCTCTTTCTAACTTTAGAGACTTTAGCCCTGTTAGTATCTAAGAAGAAATTTTCTGTGTGTTTTTTTGTTATTTTGTTATATTCAGTCTCTCAGCCAGAGGGAACAGGAGAGAGTTTTATAATTTTTTTGACTATTTTTATATAGATCTTTTACTTTTTTAGTAATTTGTTAAGATTTTTTAAGAATCTTAGCTGTACATAAATTGCTCAGAGTTCTAGCAGGATATATGATAATTTAGAGAATGAGATCTCAGAAGAAAAATAGTTAAAAGTACTTAAAGAGATTAAGCCTAAGTCAGTACTAGGTCTATTTGGCATAAGCTATTCATTAATAAAAAAAGCAAGATTAATAGTACAAAAAGTTTTCAAACACCTCACTAATCTTTGTATAAGAAAGGGAGAAATTTCAACTAAATAGAAGTTTATTTAACTTTATTTAATACCTAAAAGAGAAGACTAGAGCTATAATCTATCTAATACTTATTCAATTATCTTAATTGAGACTTTTCACAAAATAGTAGTAAGAGTTTTAACACATAGATTAGACAAAATATTAGTAGACTTTAATATATTAGTAGGTTCTAACTTCACTAGACTCTCAGATAACAGTACAATAAGTCTAATTTACATAATAAACAATTTGCTTGAGGATACAAGACAGAAAAATAATGAGTTATAGATTCTATTCCAAGACATGCAAAAACATTTAACTCAGTAGACTTAGAAATACTTAAAAAAGCTTTAAAAAAAATTAAGCTTCTAGAAAACATAATTAGCTTTATATTAAGCTTGTATGAGAAAAGAAGAATTAAAATGATTACAAGCTTTAGACTAATATAGAAATCAGATGACAATATACTAGCTAACAGACTTAGCTTATAACAAGACCAAAAGATTAGTATACCAACAAGTTATACTAGTATATGCAGATAATACAACCTAGATAGCAAGATTCAAAGATAAGCTGCAGAAGATAGTAAATATCTCAAATGAGTTCTATAAAATAAATGATATTAAAATTAATAGCAAAAAAATCAGAGCTAGTAGTTGTGAATGCTAGGAAAAAAAGAAAAGAAAAGAAGTACCTAGTGATCAAAATAGGAAAAAATCAGGATAAAGTATTTGCAAAAAAAGACAAAAATATAATAAGATATCTGAGTATCTAGATCTCAGGAAAAAAAAAGCAATATCATAACTTAAATATTGTAAGAAATAAAGTAAGCAGAATATGCAAAGCTATAAAATAGAAAAGAGTATTAGCAAGTTAGCTTATCTATCTAAACAATAATATCTTACTGCCAAGTATCAAATACAGATTACAAACATCATTTGTAAGCAAATTAAAATGTGAAAACCTTTAAAGACTAATTTAAACTCTAATAAAGAACAAATAAGAGTTAGCTAAGTCAACAGCAAACTCAATTTGTAATCATATAGGATTTTTAGACATGAAATCAATCTGGCAGAACTAACTTGTTTACTATCTCACAAAGTTTACTCTACGTTTAAACTAGCAAGGACCTCTAAATATAACAACAAGACTAAGAATTAGAGAAGGACTGCTACAAATCAAATACCTATATAGTCCTCTAAATAAGAACTACAAGTTTAGCATGCCAATTCCAAAACATAATCTGGTGATAAGAGTATTATATAAAGTAGCTAAACTAAATATAAAGATCAATAAAACCTTGGAAAACTCTGATACTCTTAATATTAAAAGAACAGAAATATTAAGTTTGCTAGATATAAAAAAGCTCTGATCCTATATAAATTTAGATAAGATGAATCTTTTCATATTAGCACAACTCATAAATAGTACAGAAATTTATCTACTAATCTGAGACTAAGTAAAATATATAAAAAGTAAAAAAATAAGAGGTTATATTCCAAGCTAGTTCAAAAAACTCAAAGAGAGAATACTAAAAGAGAATTGCTCTAAAGAAGTACAAGACTTCTACAAGGTAGATAGCCCTAACAGAGAAGCAATAAAAATCTAATCACAAAACATTTTTAAAGACAAACAGAAAAAGAAATAGGTACTATTTAAAAGAAGAGAAGTATTTCACTTAGAAAAAATAGTAAGGAAAACAGAAAATCTTATAGTAGCCAAATACTGAAGACATATAAATCAATTAGCAGAAGATTTCTTTTTCACTAAGTATAGTTACTGCAATATAGGAAATACTAGTAATAATGAGTGCCTAGTCAGCATCAGATATAAAAAAGGGTTTCAAGCTATTAAGATAAAGAAAAATATTCAAAAAGAAGTAGAATTGAGAGTACCACTATTCGTATATTCTAAGAAGAAGGAACTTGGTATAGTCAATAAAACAAACCAAGAGGTATCAGTTAAAATTATAGCAGGCAATCTCAAAAGCACAATTATACAAAGAGTAGTAGAAAACAAAAGGATTGAGAAAGAGTTAGTAAATGTATTTGAAAGACTAAAAGAGAAAGAAATTATCAGATATTATATAGATAGAGCATTAGCAGAAAGCAGTAGGGAGCAAGAATCAGATAAAATAAAAGCTAGTTGAATAGTTAGAAATGAGAAGGAAATAGGTAGTAATAGTGCTGCTTGCTTTACTAATAGTCATTTTACTAAAAGTTTATTTAGCTGATATCACATAGGGTTAGAGTTAGAGTTTTATTAGTTTTAGGTATATATTTTTAGTAAATTGTTATTTAGTATGATGTTAGCTAAATAAGCTATCGATAAAATGATTATTAGTAAAATGATACAGATCTAGTAGTAATATTAGTTTTAGTTGTAGTATAGAAAACTGGCTTTCATTAACTCATACAGAATTAGAAGCTATATGAGTAGCTCTGCTAACAGTATCTTGCAAATTATAAGTACAGATAGCAAAGTAGCAATAGAAGCTATTAAAAAGTATATAGATACTAACAAGTTATGAAGCTAGTTTAAAATAAAAAACAGAAGCTTATTGAGACAAATAAAAGACTGCTATGTAGTCAAAAGTTTAAATTTGTTATTACAAAAATCAAAAGTCATAGTGGTAACAAATAGAATGAGCATATAAACTATTTGACTAAAGAAGGTATCAAGAATAATAATATACTCAAAATATCTAAAACAATACTAGGAAATATTTGAGCTATATCTAAATAGAAAGACCAAATAATAAACTGCTTACTAAGATCATTTATAAATATAATAACTGCAATAATATATGAAACAAAATAGGCTAAATTAAGTAAAACAGCAGATATAGTAGCTTTAAACTAAGAAAACAACTTGAGTAAAGAGCTAAGTTAGAAGAATATCTAGGAAGCTCTTAAGAAATGATAAAAGAAAAAGTATATCAGCCTAAAAAAAAGCAAAGACCTTATATTTTGTATAAAATGTATTAATAATATCTTACTAATAAAGAATATCTGCTATTTGAGAAACCCTAAACTATACAAGAGCTAAAGATGTATAGCATGTTTTAGAGAAGATAAAATTATACATCATCTAGCAGAATACAAAGTATACCAAAGAATCTGAAAGAACTTAGAAGAGAAAACTCTATATCTAACAATTATTAAAGCATTAACAATGCTAGACCTATCACTTGAAGAAGGTATATTAAGAAAAGCTTTCTATAGTAAAGATTCTAAAGAAAAGATACATATTAGAAAAATACAACTTAGAGGTCTCACAAATAAGAAACAACAAACAGATATTTGTAAGATAGCTCAGTTAAAAAGCAAAGCAAACAGAGTATTAATAAGTTTTATCAAATACTTCT